AGCCCGCACGAGGGAAGCGCACGGGCGGGGATGCTGCCGGGTGGCCCAAGCCTAGACAGGAAAAGTCGAGAGGCAGAGGTCGGGGGTTCGAACCACGGACCTTCTGTTCGGTAAACTCGTGCTCTAACCTGTGTGTAGTCGGGCAACTCATGAAATGTACCCTGAAGCGTGGGCCGAATGTTGGTTGGCCCAGGTGTTATGGTCAGTGCCAAGAACAATTCACAATACCGGTGAGCTGAGACGTCCTGTTGAGAGTCAGTTTTGTGGTTCCTAGTTCAATTGTGGTGGCACAGCTCACAAGATGACCAATCACATTACCAGAAGTGAGAAGTGTGTGCCAGAGTCCCGTCGGAAATTGGTCACAGAATACTGCTCGACCGAGGTAATTTTCTTTCAAGAAAATAATCACTGGAAAGATTACTTTGTGTTTAAAACTGATGAAGTTGCAGGACTTTTTTTACTCGTTTTATCGTTTATCCATGGTTAGACACACGTCTTTGATCGCAAGTCTCCGTTGCAAACCACCCAGGAGCTCCGTTACAAAACTCTGAAGCCAGTCACTGTTGTCCGCTCAGCTTTAGAAAAAAACGCAACTCATTCTTTTGCATTGCGTTCGTGGGCTTTTGTCTGACTTAGAGCAATTGAAAGCGCACATATCTGCGTTTTTTCTCATTAGTAGGCTATAGGCAGGTGTAATCAGACAAAAGAGGGATTGCAGCTCCCCTGTCAGGGACTTCGAAGGGTAATTCGCCCATCGGTCACTGGGCTACATCTCTCTTTTGACATGAAGGTATCAAAAAGTAACCACTGAATGCCCAAAATCTACTGAGACTCTCAACACCGCTAAATGTTGACCAGATAGACAACGCCCCCGCAATATGCAGCGCGTCGCAGCCTCGTATCAAAGCCAGACCGCGTGCGTCAGCATTGGACCAGGTTCAGACAGTGTCACTCCAATAACTGGCTTGCGTCCGTTGTATTTTCACACTCTCACGAACTAACGCTCTCTCACTCGCTTGTTCGGAATACAGCTGTTGTGTTTCCTTCTGTGAGTCTTTTTTCTCCGACATTAGACACTGGAGCGGGTCATCGACAAGGGCGAAACCAACAGAACTAGGAGTCTTCATTGGCCATTTAAATAGTCTCCTATCAGGAAGGCCGGATTCATGAAAGCAAACACTGGATGCCCGAAATCTACCGAGACTCCCAGCCGTTGACCAGACAGACAACGCACCCTCAAGATCCAGCGCTTGGCAGCCTTCTATCGAAGCGATATATCTTTGGACCAAGATCAGACTGTGTCTCTCCAGTAAAGTAGCTTGAAGCCGTTGCATTTTCGCACTCGCACACGCTCTCGCTCTTGCTTGTTTGGAATAAAACTGTTTTGTCCTCTTCGGTGAGTCTTTTCCCTGCACTGGGCACTGGATATAACTGAAAGCCTTATCCGGGTGAATAGGCTATGCGTCTGATCGGGTTTTAGGACAGATAGAGAACCAATAATCAGAGTTAATACCAGTGTTTGGTGGTAATGTTTGCTTTGTTCTCTACCTTTTCTGCTATGGCAACACACTGAACACAGTCAAGTTGGAACCAATAAATATAACCGAACATACTACTTACTATACGTAAGTGAAAACAAACGTCACGTGACTGAAGGCAAAGTGGTGGTCCGCTACGATTGGCCAGTGAGGACTTTTCAATCAATTACATCGTATGAGAAACGATAATACTGAGTTGGTATCAACGGAATGACCACCTTTGTGGGAATGTTCAGCAACAAGTGATGACTCAGTTACCTGTCTAGTGACCAAAATAAGAGGACGACGAAACCAAGAGTTTTGTCGATTTGATGTGATTCCACAGCAACAGGTGAGGCAACAGATCCCCTATGAAAGAGAACAAACAGGGTTGTTTTGTATGCGGAAAATTGGTCTCGCTTTAGCTACGTATTGTGTTCTCTTCAGGGCAGTTTTAGGATCGTGATGTTATTCCCCTTGAATGGCATCGTTTTTGACACACTGGGCACTGTGGGACCATGCTTGATAATGGTCTCCGGTTTGTCTCACCATTCTTTGCAGCCACTCAAGGTCCTCTAGCCCGGTATTCGCAGCGCACAACAAGTTTTGTGGATGACATAACCTCGTGATCAAAGATCTTTTGTGTTCAGTCGGAGAAAAGCCAAAGAAATTAAGGTTTAAGGGTTTTCTAAAAATCATCACACAGTAACAGTGATGGGTGGATAAATGCAAACGTTTTCGGGTCCTCGAATACTCAAACAGCGGGCCTAATATTGCGGTGGGAGTCTGGGGACTAGGTCTATCTGATGTGCCCAAAAAAGGGCGATACTGATGATCGGCTATTCAGAGTTCTCGCCAATCTTAACGCGACGAAGTCTCCTTCCTATCTCCGTCAGTCCAAAAACACACAAACCGGAGATATTCTGATAGATGACGGAAAAAATTACATGAGGCTTTGGAGAATGAAAACTGTGGTCCGTTAAAACCAGGAGTAGATTCTATGGCGGTTTATGGAGAACGCAGTAATGGAGTTACACTCAGATGGGCTACTATTTGACAAGAAGGAGGGAAAAACAAGTCAACAGGTAGAATTGTTTACGAGAACAAACTTGTGGAAGAAGTTGAATATCACCCGTGTCACAGATGATCCCAAGCAATGGGTTTTCGTGCGTAATAGTTCTGGTCGAAGGTTGGATGTGGCACGTGATGTGATGACTCATAGGAACACTTGAGTGCCAACCACAGTTCCATCGCCGCGTAAGCAGTTGGCTCAACCTGCGGTATGAATTTGTTTGCGAAAAACGCTGGACTCTGGAACAGATAGGGCAGGTCGAGGGTGCCCAACATACAAATTTGCCGAACAGCCCGACCGCTGTGGCAGCGTGTTTCGTCGTCACTCCACACTTTGTAACGTACGAGTTCACTGCCAGTTCTCGTTTCGTTCACATGAAGCACAGCTCCGGGAATGGGGAACACGTCCGGGTTGTGATTCAGTGTGGCGAAAAACGTTTCGTCGATGATAATTTCTTTGCCAACGCTGGTCTCGTATTCTTTCAGTTCTTCCAGTAGCCAAATCGCCTTCTTATCTTTCAGCATAAAGTTTACAAACTCTCGCCTGACAGCCACATGAACTGCCCCTTTGTACCAGATAATCTGTAGTTAGGATAACGAGAATAAGAAGGCCTGATAAGCACCAAAGTATGGCAGATATCCTTAAGCAAGACAAACAAAACCGTGTGCGACTGTGTTTTGCTCGATGTTTTAAACCCCGCCTTGCGAAAGGCACACTTTTCACATATTTGTGAAACATCAGCGGCTGGAAAATTGTCCGATCTGTTAAGCTCGTAGTTGGTGCGACTGAACACCAACCGTCACGAACAGACCGGATGTGTGGCCTCTGTTATCCACTGAGCAGTACCGAGGGGTGTCTGCGCAACACTCACAGTCTATCATTCCAGGCTGGTCATTGGTTAGATCTCTGACGAACGCAGTCTCATAGCCCTCCAGGTTGGGGGTTGGAACATTGGAACGCACCTGAATTTCCCGCCGAACGCTACTGCCTTGTGGCCGCGCTTTGGAGCCAAAGACCTCGCGATTTGAGAACCCCAGCCGTCTTCCTGTCCAGGTCTGTGCTTCTTGACGTACAACCATCATGATGTAGTAGTCATACTATAAGATTCTTTACTTGCATTTCGACGACTTTCTAACAAATTTTCATACACTTCTACCAGTGTTCTTCGGTCACTGAGCGGCTAGTGATTTCATTCAACCCACGACGTATTTTCTGGACACTATGTGTACTAAATACTCTGCTGGGCGTAATATAACAAAACTCGTTTAAATCTAAAACCCATTTTCTCGAATGGCCGTAACATCACCAGAGGGAGGCAGTTGAGTTGAGATATTGCCATGTAGCCCAAATCTCGGCAGGAACAGTCAAGATTTGGGGTTGTGTTACCAACTACAGACCATACAGAGAGTGAACTCATGCCTCAACTACCGGGTCATCTCGGATCTTCTTGAAGTTGATGGTCGTCAGCTTCTGCATCAAGGGGAAAACGACGAGATGGTCCAGTGGTTGGAACGTGAATTTACTGACCGGAAGGTCCGTGGTTCGAACCCGACCTCTGCCTCTCGACCTCCCCTGTCTAGGCTTGGGCAACCTGGCGGTACCCCAGGCCTCGTACTTCCTTCGGGTGGCATGACAGCTAGGCACCGGAAGGGTGTTTCAGCTGAACGATTTTTCGATTGGGATGATTTAAAGAGCTTTTTTGATTTGGCGATAGAACACGTTCCATTCTGTCTGAGGTTACTGCTCTGGCACTTCAGTCCTCTTTCATTCTAACGCATGAAGATGGAACGGGTGTTCAGATTATCGAAGAGAAAGATGGAGTGTAAACTACTTGGCACAAAGCCTGAATTTCTATGATAAAACTACAATTTTGATACAGTCGAATACCATAGTGAAGGGGTCATAGACTGATTGCGGATTTCTGAAACACAATGAATTACACGAGCTAGTAAACTATTCATGTTAAGGTGGAAAAATATGACCGTCACGAATCTCACCTTCGAATAGAATACGCTTTTAAAAAGGAGAGATATAACCGACTCGATCCCAAGAAAGGGACCTCCAGGAGAATGGTCACTCGCTTACTGAAAACGACTCCTTTGATTTGCTCAAGGCGGGCGGAAGTAACTGCTTTTTCATTCGTCAACGGTCGAGAACAGTTCACTTGTGTACTTTAAGGTCAAGCTTTCGTAACAAAAGTGTTCGCGGCAGGCGTCGCCAGCCCTTGGAACTAGTGAGCAGGAAGAGACCCCCAGACATCCCATCGATTTAAAAGTACACAGGGTGAAACTACAGCCCTGTCTACACTAGCGAAACTTCATTCCGAGCTCGCTTTCAACCAACGAAAAATTAGTAAGAAGAAAGGTCTGGGAACTTTATTCGAACGCTTTAAAGCCGATGCTAGTTTCCGCATTCACTAGTGCGCGTGACCACCGCAGTGACTGAGGTTACCACCATACAAAATCACGCTGTAAGAACCGCGTATTTGTCTTGCAGCAAAAAATTTGGATGGTATCCTAAAAATAACTTTTAAAGTGACTTGGATGATTCAACAGACGGGTATGTTTTTTTTGGCAAACTTGAACTCCGTCATAGGGCTTAGTTGTCTGCTATTTAGACAAAGCACTCAAATTACGTCCAGCTTACCGCAGTCACTTCATACTCACTTGTATTCAGTCCATAAACCTACAGACATATCATCCTCCTCATGCAGGACAATGAACTTCCTGCCACCATCATCATCATCATTGTCAGCTGTAATTACCGCGTACTCGTCGTACTGTGGCTGTAGCTGCCGCAGTTTCGTTCACCGTTGGTTTTGGGGGGAGGGGTAAGTAGCTGCGCGTTGCAGGTGGGAGCTGATAAATTGGTGCATAAATCCGGCACTGTCAGTGGGCTGTCAAGTGGTGAGGGGTTTGGAAAAGGAGCTATGCATTGAAGGCAATAGCTTGAATGCACGAGCGCCATTGAGGGCGCGACTGAGCCATATCTGATAATGTCTCTAGCCATTGATGTGGACCGTCTCGGGGTCCCCATCCACGAAGACGGCAATGCCCAGCGCAGCTGAGTTTGCTGGTAATGGCTTTCATACTTCGCTGCAAGTCATTGTTTGACCGCATCTGTCTCTGTTCCACCCTTCACGTGGTTGTGTGAAAAGAGCCCTTCGAGGAATTCGGTCGACTGGCATACGCAGACATATGATCGACCTCAAAGTCACCCGTGCGATACTGTCACCAAGTATCGGAGACGTTTGGTGAAATTCACCTGTTCTATGTTTACGTACCGTTTCACATTCGATTTCACATGGTCTCTGCACAGTTACTAGTCCCAGCTACCCACTAAAACTCTAGTAATCTGCTTGACTTACGTTCTGACTTTTCACCGAACGTGGTGGAATTCTCTGGATACTTCGACGTCTGTATGTGGCCAGTACTACATTGGTGCCATTCAAAGCCTTCAGAGCAAGAACCAGTTCCCGATTGGTGCGCAGCGGAAATTCCTGTCCCGTCAGGTTTATCCAATACTTCCATTTTCCACTCCGCCGGAGTAGAAGGCGTGTGCACGTGAGTTCGGGTTCCAATACGCTGAAATATCCCCATCGCACGGCGGTTCTTTGTTCATCCGGGACGAAAAAGACATTGGAATTGAAGCATTGTCCACACAACATCAGCCATCTGACGAGTCCATTGGGCGATTTTCGATCCACGTGAATACAATAGAAATTATGTGGACGGTAGATTGCTGCCAGCAGACGCACCGCTCGCTCTGGATCAGTGTAGACCAAGATGCTGTATGCCAAGGGGAAGTCTCGCTCAACCGAAGTAATGGTGTATTCATAAAGTGGCACAGATATCCCGAGACATTTCAGACAATCGTAAGTACGGTTCAGTTGACGCAGACAAACTTTTTCATCGAAATGAGATCTCCAGCAATGGTATATTATGCATCCAGTGACAAGGACAAAAGTGCCAGTTGCACATACGCTTATCCTTGATGGCATTCTTCAAAGAACCACCTGTATTTAAACCGTCAGTTGATTACGAAGACTTCTCAAGCTAACCGGTGAGTCATCTCGCAATTCTCAACGTTTGGAAGTGCTCACTGAACACTGTTCAGTCAACTCTCAGTTCAGTCATGAGTTTGATCACTAGTTCTGATGTCTGGACGTGCTGGTTCGTGCTAACCACGCCGGTCATCCGCTTCTCACATGATATCGGTTTGAATCAATCGATCAATAAATACTGCTATCAAGTTCAAGGTGGCTGCGTTCTCCCTAGCATACCTATGTAGCGTTGGATTTCTTATAGCGAAGAAATTCTAATTGAGAGTAAGAACACAGCAACTTTATTGCAAACAAACGAGTGCAAAGGCCATCGCTGTATCTAAGGCGCAATTTTGATCCTGATCCACGCTGTCCGATCAACGTTAGGTGAACATCCATCATCGTTGGCCGTGGTTCACTGAAATGCCTGTGCGCTCATTATCGTCGGTCGTAATTGAATTAATTAACTGTTTGTTGTATCTTGCGCGGTGGCCGAGCTATTTGGTTACACCTGCGCTGAACCTGCCAGACTACGCGATAGGGAGAAGACAGAGAACTGGGGACACGGCTGTATTGCCAGGACAAAACATACAGACCGTCTGCGTAAATATATAGGATGACTAATTAGCCAAATATGGTCGTTCACTTGTTCGTTCCGTACAGCCAATGGTGGTGTTCCGGTCGTGAACATTCTCAGGCCCACTACGCTGGTTGTGTGTTGCTTAGCCGTGTTTGGTGAGAGCCGACAGCTCACCTACTTTCCGGACATGTCGAACCGATGGTGACCTTGGGGGTGCGTCACTCTCTGCACATGTGCTTTTTCTTCTGCCTGGGCGCCCCCTGAGACTGTTTGATTTGGAAATGAGTGTATTTCTCAAACACAATTCAATTTGGGTTCAAGTAGATCATAAGGTTGATGGAAACTCGGAGACTGCGCCTACCTGATGAGCCCCAAGAGGGGCGAAGCCGTTCGTGGACTGTCGAAGAGTTTTCAGTAACCTTGTGAGTAGTTTCATTTATGGAAATATACTGCGATATCTCGAATATCGTGCCAACTGAAACATGAGGCGGCCTGTATGCGACACATTCAGTTGTTGAATATCATAAACGAGAGATGAGTACCTTCCCTCACATTTTGTCTGACGTAAGTTCATGGAACCTTTGCGGCAACAGTTTCTGGTTTCTGACTACAGTTTCATTCATTGATGTGTTTTCATATCGTGGGGTCCTGCAGTCCTGACAGCCAGACGAGGAACTAATTGAGTCCTCTTTTCATGAATCAGTAAGAGACTCGAACATTAGCAGACAGAAACGAGCTTGAATAAAATCGTTATTAGTAATGCCACATTAAGGAGCAGAAGCGCGTTTCGTCTGCATCTTTTATACGACATCGAGGATAGCCCCTTGCGTAAAAATGTGTCAACACTGTGCCTCTTGAGACATCACTTACCAGGAATCGATCTAGTGGCATCCATTTGAAGTAGCAATTCCTCTGACACGTCACACGGGAAGTTTGAGTAAACCAAGCCAAGGTGATAAGTTAGGACATTTAATTGTACAGTCATCACGAAACAATCAAATGACGTCCTAATTAACGTGGTCATTCAACTGAATATAGAGAATCGGTCAGGTTTTTCTCCAATTTCGGTTCGGTTGTCTATAATTCAGCGTTTTACGCCTCCACATGATGAGTGGCAACCAGTGCTACGAAACGACTTTCGAGGCTGGTACGAATTCTACTAGAAATCATTACCGACTTCAAGCTTTTGCAGCCAATCTTTTGACCGATGTCTCTGATTTTCCACCAATCACATTTCACGCTTCAAAACCAGGATAAATATGTCTAAATTTAAATAGTTGTTTGCCAGGATGATGTATTAAATTCATATCCGATTTTTTCAGGCGACTCGTATTTCAGCTAATTCTATATTTAAACTGACGCTGCAAGTGAACTTTACTTGATACGACAACACTACCTTGGTATGCAACTAAATGCCAAAGTCCACGCCTGTCCAACTTGAAGTGCAAAATAAGTATACGAGATGTCGAGGAGTACACCCTACTTGATGGACTTCAGAAAGAGGAAACTGGTAGTGCGTTGTTGAAGGATTTTCGTCAACCGCATTGCTATGGCCCACTAGTCCTATGTTGGTCCACGGTATACTTTTCCGCCATTTGCGGTATATTAAAATGTTTTCTTTTAAACATTGAGAGACCAACAGAGATGTATTTATGTAGTGACTTTCCCACAAGGTCAACCTACAATCTTAGTAGCGAGGTAAGAAGAGTCGGGCTAAAATGGTCGATTCTGATTGGTTCGTTTCTGACCAATAAGGATCCTAGGCCGACTCGCAGCGCGTCAGAAAAACTTCCATATCCTGATTATGTTCCCTTGTCAAAAGCAGTTAGTCAAACAGTGTCATAAGCGATAGGTTGTCTCAGATCTTAGGTTTGGCAAGCGGCCTGCTTGTCGAGCTTGGTGATCAGCTGGCAAAGATCACGTCACGAATCAAGCAGGTACCGTTTTTATTAGTAAATGACTTCTCAACTATGCATTCTAATGGGCCACTGACAAATGGGCGAGTGAACTTAGAAGGAACAAAAGTGGAAAGAGCGCTTTGCCATGCGATTCAACCTGAATGGGTTTCATCGATTTTGGGATTCATCAACTGGGGATCATGTGGTTTTTAGATCCAAATTCCACAACCCCAACCGTAAAATCGCCAAACTTGCTCTTCTGAGGCCGACACACCCGATTTTTATTCGTCAGCAGTAGAACTCAGCTCCACGACTTGTTAGGGACTACTAAGGTCATGACAAGCTTAAAGGAATAATCTAAGATGTAGTAGGTTAGTTTCTAAGGTCATCTTTTCGTAATTGGATAACGACAGTGCTTCTAAAGTCTGTATTCTCGTAGGGGTGTTGTATTAGTCTCCTGTCCTGGTGCGAATGTTCCTTGCTAAAACAGGGACTCGAACTTGGATCTTGTTGGGCTTGCTGTGACTTGTGGCCTGGACATCTAAAATACAAAACCAGCCTACCCACACTACTGTACCAGCTCATAAGGCTCGGAGCGATAAGAATAGTCTGTCCGAAATCAAATCAAATAATGCGAATCACGTGATTAGGCATAATCAGCAGGAGTAGCTCTGTAAGGCTTGCCAGCCGATCGAAAAGCTTGGTTCTTGCTCAAGTTGATGGGCGTGTTATGCACCCACTGACCAGGCCCACTCGCTCAGGAATTGCACTGCTGCAGTTTGTACGCTTGCACTACTTGTCAGCTGTCCCGGAGCAAATTCCAGGACGGCAAGGGATATGCAGTGCTGTACGAAACACAGCCCGAATGCACTTCAACAGCGGTATGAGCTAACTAACGAGCATAGTTTCCCTGGCGGCCAGGTGGAGGACTTCACAAACAAGACTGATGGGAATACGGACAACGAATTTCGGTAAAGTAATCGTATTTTAATCGTTCATAATCTGGAGTTCATTTAAATTGGAAACCAATCGAATTTTTTTATTATTGCTAAATTAGACGCGTCAAAATTTTCAAAATTCTTCGTCAGTCTGACATGAGAGTAGTCCAACTCAGCTTAGCAATCTGTATTCCTGTCCCATGGTAGTGTCTTCCACAAAGGCGCGATGTACACAACGAAATATGTTGCACGCCATACAGGTTGAGACGTGTCCTAATGCATCTGACTGAAAACGGGGCGGGGGGTGGTATCTGCTATCCAGGGCTTGGTGCTAATCATGCTCTGGATTACAGGACATCATAGATTTCGTCAATCCTTGTGGCTGCAAGTTTTCTTTATCAGTCAGTCTGCAAACTTAGCCTCTTGATTTTTCACCTGTGTGAGTAGACTACTAGCTACAGACCGCGAGTGGTGCTACTGATTGCAACCACAGTGTACGTGCTCATATTATCGGAGAATTTTTGTGCCTCACACCTTCACTCTCAAGAGCAAAGTGCTTCGCGTGCGAGGACGTTACGCCCATTAAGCGACCTCACCCCGAAAGAACTGTAGCAGACATATGTGACAGTCTTGTTTGGAAAATGGAATGTCATTACCGCGTTATGGCTGCGTAAACAGATTGTTTCATCATGTGTACTGAAAATCTTCAAGGGCTGTTTCTCACAGAAAGCAGAAAAAATGTTTCAATCTCTGGAATGTTTCTCTTTGCTTGACCTAGCAAATATAAGCACATTTGTTCGGAAGACGGGAGAAACGTGTTCTACTCCACTGATTTTAGATTCACTTTTGAGATCCTCTCTTGCAGTGACTCGTGACTGGTGCACGGCTATCCAACATGCTTCACCATAGCAAACAAACTTCGCGGAAAACACTCGATTCGCCTTTAACCTAAGACTTACCTGACTCCCAGTGGAATCCCCCGTTTACGATATCCTTAAGCTGAATATGTTCCACCAAAACCGCTTCAAGTTCCAGTTGGTACGATATTCAAGGTATTGGAGTGAATCTACTTAAGGGGAACTATGCATAAGTTTCCTGGCCACTTCTGCATTAGGTGGGACCACCCCCAATGGGACGGCTTTTATGCAGTACTCCCAGTGGAAGCAAGCATGAGCGAGAGACCAAGCTGAGATTCAGTTGAATCTCTCGTGAAATCGACGGAAAATCGGGGATTGCGCCTAGTTGATGAGCCCGAAACAGAAGGATTGAATAGATCGTGGCCAGTCGAACAGTTTTCAGCAACCTTGTGAGTAGTATCACTCAAGAAAACATATTTCGGGACCCCGTTTTGCATGCATTGACGTAAACCGACTTTTCGCACTTTACAATGAAGTGCACAAGAATGGTCAGAATTCTCTCATTCAATCCACACAAGTTTGTAAAACTACCACAGCACATTAGGCAAAACAACCTATCTCGATGCTTAGCAACTCTTAGACAGAGATAGGTGAGAATGAGATCGCGAAATAACTGTGAGAGTCCTTGTCGTGAGTGTTTGTGTAGGAATTTTTTATTTAACCAAGGAGATTTGGCCTTTGAGTCTGAACGTTTATTGGAAGGAAGGAGCAATGCTAAGTTTTGAGTATAGAAGTGAGTAAAATGCTTAAATGCTGACTATAAACTTGAGAGGTGAACTGACTACTTATTGGATCATTTCAGTAGGCATGGTAGACAAGAACGTGC